CAGCTTGACAAGCGTGACAACGAAACAGGCTCAGTGGCCAGGACACGTAACAGCCATACCAACTCAGCCTCTAAAATGCTCACACACACGCATACGCGTACATGCCGGCACGCACGGGCAAGCATGAATAAATAAGCGACAACTCACAAAGCTGGGCAGACGGCAGACGGCAGCAGCAGCAGCGGCAGATGACATCCTTTTTACGCTTGAGTGATGCAAATAATAAAAATTATGATTGCTCAAAAATGGAGCAATTCCGTTGTTTGGACCCATAAGCAGGGGAGACGTTGGACGTGATTGGGGCATAATTGAAAGAATTATTTTGACAGCTGAATTACATGTCTGCGATTGCTTAGGACATTTACGAGTATAGATTTAATTTATTGATTTTTATTTAAATAAAGATATTTCTTTATTGAAAGTTTATTGAAAAATTGATATGGGTTGGAAGATTGTTGCTGTACCATGTTTGTATGGGATATGCTAAAATGAAATATTTGATAGTTTATAAATGAAGACATAATAAACACAAAACGAGCATCTAAATTTCCATCCTTAAAATAAAATAACACACACCCCCTTATACTGGATATTTGTTGAATATTGGTATCAACTTCAGAATTGAATGCAAATCATAAAACTAATTTTGCAAATTTTATGAAACCTTCTTCCAGTTCATTATTCTGCGAAGGAGCCTAGTAACATATAACATATAACTATGTAGCTAAGGATGTAACGAGCTAAAGATACAAGCAGCGTCCCAACGTGTAAGTGATTTCTCTCGCTTTCCACTCCTCTTCAACTTGCTCTCTATAACCAGTTGGTTTAAGGTTTCTGACTACCTAAAGGAATTAAGTCGGATAAACATTGCAGATTACTTTCATTAGCCTAGTTCGTCAGGCATGAAGTTATTGGTTCCGTAAGTCGATAAGAGTTTTAACACTCTTAGATATACCCACATTTCAATTACTTATTCGTTGATGTTTTCGCAATCCACAATTTGTATTACTAAATTGTAAACCAAAGTCAGGAAAGCTTTAAGAAATATAAATGCATTTAAGACTTTACTAATGTTTTTCAAATTCAATTTCTTTTTGTGAGGTTTGTGGTAAGAACTTGTCAACTACAACCTGAGATCATTGTCAGATTTGATTTACTTGAATATAGACGAAGATGACTAACATGACTTTCGTTTTGGATTTGTTGATTTCTAGATGACCACATCGATTGGTGGATGATACTTTATTCATCAGTAAGGTGTACTCTTATTCGTAAGATCCCAATATCTATACGTCATTATCTAAATTTAACGGAATGGATTTATTCTTTATTCTTTTATACTAGGGGTTCTTGCAAGGAATGTGGTAGCAAAACGGCGAAAAATCGCTAACTGAGGTACATGAAAGTTATCCAATGGCTTGTCACTGCAACCAACCAACCAACTATGTATATGTCATATGCATATCTCAAACTGTAAATATTATTTTCTCATACAAATAGCAATAGTTCAACTGCCAACAACCCATGTTATTTAAATGCCGTATTTTTGCAGCAAGTGCATTTAAGTCTCATACACTCAAAACTACTTGTGGTTGATAAAAATCGAAAATAATCTTCAAATTATTTTAAAAGTACATTAACTGTTGAACAACGAAACGACATACTTTGGTGAAGACTACTGAAAGATTGAATAAACAAAATATGCACACGTATCCTTCGAAAGCCCCAATCGAACTTTCGCTTCTGCCGGCTTAACCGAAAGTAAAATTTAAAATCAAACAAAAATATTTTCGCAGCCAAATCCACATTTTAATGTGCCGCGGTATAAGCTGAATATATGGAAAACGCAACGAAAATATCATAAAAATAACAATGAACAATGAATATCGTGAACGCACTCAGCAAGGACCAATCAAACAAACAATAACTTTGCATTGTCTGCAGTTGCAATGATTGCAAGAGTTGTACGTGCAGATATTGTCTGCACATTGCACTCGAAATAATGCCAAAAGAGCCCAAAATGAGCATTGCAGCTAAAACGTTGTCGATGCGTTTCCATACAACGCATTGCTGTAGGTTTGCTGTTGGTGTTGTCGTAGTCAATCGCTCACATTAATTTGTGCAATTGTTTCCTTGGCTTTATGAATTCATTAATATCCTTCCATGCAAATGGCAATGCGAGAGCGTATAAAACTACAGCGAACCAACTCCAATTAAACTTCAAGGGAGGACTTTTGTTGTTATTGCATTTCAGCGTTCAGATTGCATTTGAACGAAGTACGTACGTGTACTTAAAGCTTTACGCTAACAGCTGGAAATGAACTTAATAGCATTGCCTACACCCCCATTCGAACACCCGAACAATTTAAAATTCGATACCGGCGACAAAGATTTTCAATCGAAAAACCATCAGGAAATTAAAAGCGTCGCACATCAGTTTGTTGGACTCGTAAAATAGCAAAAGAGTACCGCATTACCAGCAACAGCTACTGCCGTGTAGAGGAGTTGCGAAAATACGGTTCATGTAGATTTCGGTAAATGAAGGAAAGAGCAGTTTTTGTTGTTTATTGTGCGGATTGCAATACTTTATACTTATGAGTGTGCCATAAATTATATGAAACCCATTTGCCGGCCGCAAAGGGAACGTTGGTGGCAAAGGCGAATAACATGCGGAGCAAGTAAATCAGTTCAAAGGATAATATATGCTAATTTAGAAGTTGACTATTACAAAAACAGAAGAAAGTGGAAATTGAGAGAAGCTCATTTGCAGAGAAAAATTCGATAAGTTAATACACTAGTGATTTTTTGAAAGATATAATGAACAGTGGAAATTAGATTCCGAAGGATTTCATTATCTGCTGACATTAACTACTAATATATTAATTTTAAAGCAAAGAAATTATTAACTCAACTATTGGAATAAAACTGAAATTTATCATTTATACAATTGATCACAATTTATGCAGGAGTTTATGTATCAAAGTCGAAGCAATGGAAAATACAAAGAAATTTATTTTTAATATTACCGAAAAATGTTCCCACGTAGTTTTTACTCTAGTGACGATATCCTAGTATTTGTTTGGAGTTAAAACTATAACTATTATAGTCCAACATATTAACTAATATATGAAAAAAGTGCCGGGAATCAGTCAATAAAATACAAAATACGTACCAATATCAATATTTTTGGTGTCGACTTATAGGTAGATTCTTTCTGAAATAATACACTTACGCCTCGATGTAGTAATTTAAGTTTTGAAAAACGAAGAAAGTCGATGGGAGCCATTTCAGGGGTGCACGTTGGCCGATCGAAAACATTTGTTGAGTTACTGGACAGAAATACGTTCGCAATTTTCTTTTCACAAATTTTATATCAGCCAATAATATTTGTTTACTGCCTTACTTTATGATAAGAATTCAAAGTACACACTACCGTTGCAATCGACGAAAACTATAAACATCATCTAAACTTTTATTGGATTTTGACATATTTTTTTCATCGACCGGTTTGCATATTAAACTCGGAAATTGATACATTATCGCGTTGTAAATAAACCAAATGCCAAGAGACGATTAAATTCAGCTTGATCAAAAAGAACAGTGTTACCAACTTAGTGACAAAAGAAGTTTCAACAATCCTGCAACGTGGAATTTTTAGAAAATCGATTCCCTATAGTATAGACTATAAGGCTTAATAGATATTTAGATATTCGAAAGTTTGAAATAATTCTAATGGCAAAACTTAATCGAAATACTATTAGTGAAAGCAATACCATAGCCTTATATAAAGCAAAACCAATCAATCTCAATATAGGCCGCAAAGTAAAAAAATACATGTCTATTATAGGCAAGAACCCAATATTATCTGTCTGTAAGCTTAAGTGTCAGTTCGCCGCCTAAGTAAGATCCAACATATTTAGTTTTTTTTCTGTTTTTGCTAAAAGAATTTCTATAAAAATATTAGAGTTTTAAGAAGTTTGGTACTTACTTCCAAAAACTGAGTTATGTTAATTAGTGTCAATTCTCTTTACGAAATGGAAAAGATGACAAAATATTTCATTATAAAGTATTGTTACTACTTTTTGAATTTAAGCAATTTATTAATTTTTTAAAAACTGTAAATTTAATAAAGCATATGTGTCTTGTCTAATGAATAAATATATTTTACACAGTTTAATTTAATTAAAAATTACAGCTGAGCTCATATAAAACGCACATAAAGCATATAGTCTTTTACTTGCTCCTTGTATAGAAAATTCCTTCTTTTGCAGAAAATTCATATAATATTTGCCTTTTTTGTAATTTTCTTATGATTTTTTCTTTTGATTGATTACAGAGCCTTTTTGTAGTCTTATTGCGAGCACTTATAGTCCTCACATACTCCCAACCGAACTCTTCAACTTTTCACAAGAACAAATTTTAAATTTCCACTGCCGGCAATAATTTCTAAACCAACCTAAATTTAATAAATTTTCTTACTCTCAATTGGCTCCGAAGTCGAAGCCTTTGAAGTAATGGAATCTTCCATTCTTGCTGTATATTTTTATTGAGCTCCTTAGACATATCAGGAGCAAACGAATGAAATGCATTTCGTTGGTATTTTGTGTTTTGTGGTACTTGCAGATAAAATTTCAAACAAATAAGAAACAAAGGTAAACACAGATTTTTGTGGTCTGTTGAAAATGTACAAATTCACTTATATTGCAGCATTTAATGTGCACTAAAATCCAATTTAAATTTATCTACAAGCATTCATACTTTTCTTCATTCGAGTTTTTTCCATATGCAAGAAGAGTTTCAGATTCTAAAATGCCTTCACATAAAGAAATGTACATACATATCTCTGCCTAAAGCAATAACCATAGAAACGTGATTTGTTGTTGTTTTAAAGCTTGTACTTTAGCACTTAGAAATCGTATTAATTTTTAATTTAACAATAAACTTTTATTTGAGCTGCACTAATAATAAGAACTATTTTTATTTCTTAACTCCTCTTTCAGATGTGACGAATATTGATTATGTAAAAATTGTGGCAGAAGCCGGCAAAAATGTCACCATACCTTGTCCTGGAGTAACCGAGCACTCATTGGTCGATACTTTAGTTTGGAAAACTACAACAACAGTTGTAGCGCAATTTGCTAATCGAATATCTTTACTACCAAGTCCAAGGGTAAGTTCACCAAAACTAATTAAATAACATGATATTCAGATAATGCTGAACTAATGATCAAGCACATGGTCTGAACAATATATTATTATTATGTTGAGGGTAGTTGAGTAAGTACACTTGAGCACTTTAATCTCTATTAACTTTGAGGTTTTTTCATAACCCCTCACTACGCCTTGACTGGATTATTGTTTATCACTTCAACAGACTAAGCAATAACCGACCACAGAAAAAAACTGTAATTCAAAACTCAATCACAATTATAATATTTCTACGTTGATTTTAGAAATCACAGAATGTGAAACCCTGTATATTAATTTTTTAATTCATATTGCTATATACTCATTTGATGATAATAAATTTTGATTTTGTTTTTTAAATAGCAAATGTTTTTTTAGCTAATGGAATAAGATAACTTTAATACTTGTCTTAAACTATTACATATTAATGAAACAGATTAATTGAAAATACTGCTTTAATGCTAATTAACTATCATATATTTTTCCTTCTCTATAGAAATATATTTCAATGAAAGTCTTAGTCACTTATTTTAAATAAAGAGTTCTTCCTCATTTTTTAATTCACTGTCTGTACTCACAATGATGTCTGCTTTGATGTCCATGTCTCTCTCAAGATCATCACTAGAATTTTGTTTCGAAATATATACATGTAAAAAAATAATCATTAAATATTACTTTGTATTTAGTAAAATTAAAAAGTATTATTTAAAGTAAACTGAATGCTTTTGAATTGTTTGTTGCTAACAAAACTTTTGTGCGGTTATTGTCCGTGTTGACATGACGATATATAGTAAAAGCTTAGGAGATAAAATATCATTTCATTGCTAGCTAAAGTTTTAAGTCCTTTAATCTAAACTTTTTGTTGAACTCTAAGTTTTATAGCATTTTAGTGCAATGAACAACTTTATTGCCATATATTTTTCAACTAACATATAAATAATAAATAAATTTAAACCATATTGAAGGTATGTGCTCTATGTGCTAAAAATTTCTCCAACTTAATTCACTTTATTTTACACTACACTTTGAATGTGTTAACACTGTCAGCAACAAAACAATGCCAATAAAATCCTTCCAACACACGAACTTGGCTGTAAACAGCTTAACATTTTCTTTTAGCCTTAAGTGGCTATATTTACAGCACATATTCCGAAAAATTTTAGACGAAAAACATGTGAGTGTGGTTTCGAGTATCTATGTTTGGCTTAAGCTGATACTACTGAACATAACAACAACAACGACAACAACAACAACAACAACAGAAACAAATAAGACTGCAAAAATAAAAGTTAATTCTACAAGTAAAAGCAACATTAAACGAACCAAATGAAATTAGTTTTAGATTGCACACTCCTGCGAGCAATGTTTAGTGCGGCTCTTATGCATTTACACAAATCTGCATAGATACAATATTTACTCCTACATTCACTCATACATATATACGTATAACTATAGTTTCAAACATATGAATATATGAGTATATATGTTTACATATATATAAATACGTTACTGTGTATGAAAATTATTATAGCTTTTTTGAATTTTTGAAGCATCAAAATTTGTCAAGCATAAATATTGTTAAGTTACTATTAAATATATCCTAGCAAAAAGTTTAAAAAAAATTGTTAGATAAATAAATAAAAGCATAAATAATACAAAAATCTTGCAAGAAATTTTAACTATAAAGTTTATTCAGTATTTTTAGATACTTTTATGCACAAAAGGCTCGTATCGTTTTTACTCATTTCCAAAACATTTTCATTGATATATGCACTCTTATGTGGCCAACTTAGTTAGACAGACATTGTAGTTATTGTTAAATATTTTTTAAATTTAACATATTATATGCTAAGCTTAAATTTAATTAAGAATCTTTGGTGCACCAAATTCAATAATACTTGACTTAGCAAATTTGCTTCATTGCATTTTAATTGTAACTAACAAGAATTTAGTGCTGCGTACGACCATAAACTAAAATTGATATATTTCTAAACAATTCGAAAGACAGTAAAGCAAAATTTATTGATCTTTTAAGTAACTTAAATTGCAATGAACAAGAAATATAACTGCTAGAAAGCAATAGGACGTAACATGACCTTTGAGATCTATTCTGCTATACCCGGGAATATACAGATCAATCGTGTTATACCAAAGGAAAGTCTGCGTAGGTAACTTGATATATATAAAGCTCTTAATTAACTCAAGAAAATTGAATGCTTAAAGTCTTCAGACCTTCGTTGCATCAGTATAAGGTAGTTAGAGATATTACATCCATTTTCTGATATACACAGAACTAGAACAATATTTTCACCAGATGTTTAATTTTGTGTGTTAGACATCGTAACCCCTAAAAACAATTCATTAATTTTAGCTCAGATCAGTTTAGACAAAAAAGATATGTAAGTAGTGCTAAAACCCTGCATAAACCTGAAAGTTTCGTAACCAAACCAAACTAAAGTCCTTGAAGACAGTTAATGAAGAAACGCGCTACTTAAGATATGTGTTTCATTGGCGATTTCTGAGATATAATTCACCCCAATATCACAGACGAACTGCAGTACTACAAAACTAGCTCAAAACAATTTTATTTAATTTTTCCACATGAACAGAAAAATTACTTCAGTATTTACTTGATACACGTTTACCTGCATTAGGAGCAATCATCACTGCTGGTAATATCCTGCTTTAATGCATACGTCATTACCTTTTATTTCCATGTAACAATACTAAATAGTATTCTGCAGTTCTTTCTTTCGAAGAAAAAACATTATGTTTAAATCTAAACTCTACTAGAAGTTCAAAAAGTGCTTTAAAAAATCTTTATAGTATTTTTTAGTAGCATTTTTAATAACGTACACGTATATAAGTAAAATATGTACACTATAATCTTGTAAAATAACTTAGGTTTTAATAAAAACTGTAAAGGTTGGATAAAGTTTTCATCCATTCTTCAATGTGTGTAAATCATAAAATGATGGTTAAGATGACTATATATTATTTGCAAATTGGGATGAATTTAGTCCATCTGAGTTAAAGTGCTGTTAGTTTATGTATATGTTCGCAACACATATCGCACCAAAACGTCTTGTTTGGGTTATACCATTTGGTAGAGTAGAACCAAGATTAGAGAAATATATGTCATGACTAGCCATAACATTGACAGTTTTGGGATATGTCCACCCGATTGTTACAAAAAATTTAAATTATATCCGAACATATAACCTCAATGGATACCGACTAAGTTTTGTCCAATTAGGCGCATTATCTTGATATGATCGTCTGTTGAGATCAATGGTCTTTTGGCAGTTAACCACGTCAGATAACTAATACTCATGTTACTTAAAAAAAGGAAAAGCCTTTAAATAGTAAATGAACTACTTCTAGTTATAAGAAAAAAGAATAACTATGTTGCCGTATTTCTTTGAAAGCATTTATTTGCATTTTTGCTTATAAGTAAACTATCTCACAGGTGAAAATATCACAGTCATGTGATCTAATTTCGTCTTTTTTCTTATTAAAATTTATATCTAGGTACATATTTTAATTTCTGTTGAATTTTATTATTTTATAAAGTTAATTAATCTCTCTTACCCTGTATTCTATTGAAACTATTACATCTTTCTATAGTTTCAATAGAATTTCTATTTCAAATGCACATTTTGTTGTTTTAAGAATATTTCAAAACTTTTGCTTGATTTCACTTCAGAGTCAATTTTTAAGCAATTTTATTTCTTATTTACCAACAACAATGAATGCAATAAAAACGTAATTGTAAAAACTGCATCCTTTTCAAAACTTTTGTATTTAAAACAATTTTATAGAGAAATTTAAATATTATTTACATTGCATATTAATTAATTTTCTTCAATTGATTTGTTCATAGAACTGAGCACAAACAGGAAAAACAAACAAATTCAATTTAAATGTTCATTGAAAATTTATTATTTTTCCATTGAACAATCAAATTTCAAAAAAATTCTGGTGAAATTAATTTTCTAGATAGTTTTTCTTTGTACTGCATATTAACATTCTTCTGAACAATAGTTGCCCCTTCCAAAAATTTGAAAATGTTGGTCGAAACTTAAAGTAACTTAAATGACTCATCTTTTTGTAAAATTGTAAATTCAACTTTAATTACTCTATATAAATTCCTAAAAGCTTAAATTTGAACTATTAAACAAAAGTATATATGTTTTAAAAAAAAACCCAGCAAGAAACCACTATGGTAATCAAGCCACTTTTTAAATCTAGCAAACCCACACTAAAATTATCGTCTCGTTACGCAAATGGACTAAATTAACTCACTTCACTAAGAATCTTACCTTCGGTAACTCTAAGCTAATGCTAATAATGTCAATAACACATAAACTGACTAGTTAAAATACTTGAATTTCCAGCTCGATCGGTTTGTTACATTTCTTTCTCATGATTTTTCAAGCAAAAATCTTTTGTACTGTTACTTTCTTCACCTTGCTAGTTACTCTGCCATCTACATCCACTCTGCTATCAGCACTATCACTTGACATTATAAAGTCATAAGTCTATAAAGTCATCAAGTCCTGCCAAAAGTACTAGACATGTGTACAACTACACTATAGTTTCTTAATAATCAGCTATTACACTGTGACCTAAGTGTTTTCACAATATATGAAAGGCTTAGCCATATTTGTTTCAGTTACTATAAATAACCAAAAGATTTACAACAATTCCCGCGTTTCAAGATAATTCGGTATAAATCCATTTCTTTTAATAAAGAAAACAATTATAATGATCCTCTTTTCTTCTTATAGTTTCAATTCTATGAAGTATCTGCTTTAAGTGTTAGTTCCTACTTCCCGAAAATGTCTGATATCTGTTTATTATAATAGAAATCGATAGACAACGCTAAATCGATTCATTTATTAATAGATTTAGGGTTTTATTGATTAATGACAAACTTGATTACCTTCTACGCTTTTTACAAGAATGTGTAGGTTATAAAAGAGAATATTTATTCAATACCAATACCAAATATCAGAACCGTTTTACTATTAATAAAAAAAGTTTTGTGCAATAAAGTTTCTCATTTATGTGTAAATTTTACCACAAACCCGCCGTAAAGAACTTCACACCATTGCATACTTCACAAAAAGTCGCATCGTGGAAATAAAATCGGTAATTTAAATTCTTGAAATTTAAATTTCGTATTTAATTCGACCGTGAAGCTATAAATTTCATTTCTATCAGCTTAACTTTTTTATGCTCAGTAGTTTACCAGCTTTAATTTCCAATCTCCATTCGAGTTACAGTCCTCAGCGTTTTTAAATGCAGAATAAAGAAAAAATTTTTGTGAAGGGAAAAGAAAAACAAAATTATCACTTCTATCAAGTAAATCATTTTAATAGCTTGTACACCTCGTGTAAGCTTAGACTAAGTCCAAAGAAATGTTATTCATTCCATAGTCGCACTCCTGGCTACCTTCATTTGTGTTATTTTTTCCATGCAGAATTTTCACAACTTCTCAACTGAGACACAAATCATTACCAACATCCATAAAACAAAAGTTAATAGCTCCGCTAACTAAGAGTAGCAACTGTAGCCGGAGCAACTTCAGTAACTCCAACAACAGTGCAAAAGCACTAAAAACTGTATATGAGAGGACGCAGTAGATACTGTGTTGGATGCTGCCGCTGCTGCGTTTGCTGCTGCTGCTACGACTACTGCCACTACTACTGCTCCTGTGATGGTTGTTGGCACATGGATATGGCAACAAAAACACTACCGAAGTGAAATAATACAAATGACTTTAAAGTGAAAACTTTTAATACACATCGCAGCGATTTTTGCTGCCTTTAGTAGAGAAGAATAATGTGAATTGGTATTTGGATAGGACTGGCAGTGCAACTAAAATGTCCCAGTGCGCTATTTAACACATCTTCAGTGCAGTGGTGATAGTCGGCACGCGTATCCTTAATCAGTAGTCTTATGACTGCAGCTGCTACCTTCAATTCAGGACTCCCGTGTGTGTACTTAAGCTAAGGAAGACGGAAAAAAATAGTACACATAGTAGTTGAATAACAGCAAGAGAGGAACTCAAAATTTATACGAAAGTAAAGAAAGTGTTCCACTAGTTGTGAAATTTTCAAAATTATTAACATTAAAAATAGTTATAGGCGTGACAGTCGTATGTGGCTTAGTTGCACACACAACTACAATTTTATTAACAGCTTTTACACGCACCTCAGCGTCATAACTTCTGAAACTTTTTTACACATAATTTTCAAATAATGCTTTGAAAAGTTTTTCGTATGCCACGCCCTTACCTACTGATATATATATATTGCATATATGTAAAATATTACTAAAAGATAGATACCTGCACAGCCAACGTATATACGAATCTATGCAAAAATTATAAAAGTAGCAGAAAATTTTGTGTAGTAAAAGTTTCCAATGAAGTAGTGCATTTCCACATCCTCCATGCCTTGCTAATGGAAATATTTGCACATAATTGTATTTTAAATCTCAAAAGCATAATTAAGAGAAAAGTGCTTTCTATCTGAAGACATATTTCAGATATACTTCTTTTTCTTCACCTCATTGTTGTAGTATGAATATTGAGGACATAAAAGAGTTTTTAATGTATCCTAAGGTAACGCAAGGTAAGGCAAGGTAAGGTAAGGTACATACGGGCACAAGTTCTTAGAATTGCTAGTTGCTCATGGAGGAAATGAAAATTTTAGTTGAAGTTTGTGAAAGTTACTTAACATAATTAAGCCTCATCTCTTATTAAGTTAATAAACTTAATTTTAATTATTATATTTTAATATTCTTATTTCTCTTTATTGCAGATACAACTTTTCACTGAAAATTTTGGCTTACAGTTTGTACCAGCAATTGCCTCCGACACCGCTGAATATATTTGTCTAGTAAATGACAGACATATACCAGAAGCCATTGTGGATCTATTGGTGCAGGGTAAGTACATTTTACATACATCTGAAGTAAACTGAAAATCACAATTTTTATTTTTGAAAAATAAAATAAAAATTATTCACTAAATTAATAAAGATGAAATAATTATTTTACTATGACGATCAGTATTCGGGAATATACATTAATGATGTATTGTCTATTAATAAATTTCGCTTGATACAGAATAATTTTTGGACTAAGAATTTTCTTATACTACATCCTTTTTTATTCCAAATGAACATGCAAATCTTTATTATATTACCTATCTTTATGGTCACGAAAGTAAATATATTCCCTTTCAAGACTCTATTTTTTAATCCAGTAAAATTTATAAATATAGGGTAACAAGCAGCCACGGTTTTAAACTCTATTATCATAAACGGATTAATAATAATAAAGACCGCTTAGCAAAATATTATTTATAAATAGGTTAATAGAATTAATAATTATTTTTTAATACTGATTAACATAATTTGTTCTCCAAAAGGAACTATTGAAGATAGCAGAGATATCAGAAATATATTTTATTTAAAATTGATATTTTAATTAATTGATTAATTGTATCTCTATATAGTTAATAAAAATTAATTAATAGTTAATAACAAAATTAATGTATTCTTATGAATACTACTTAAGTACACAGTTTATAATACATATCTATATTGTACAGCATATATATTCTATTCTAACAAATCGAATTCTATTTTAACCTTCCAATTATGTAGACTAAAAGGGTGTAACTGAATAGGGATTGAAATGAGCTATCAATAATTATTTAACTACTTCCCAATTTCTAGTTCCTTTAAAGTCTATATAAGTGCAATAACATAGTACAGGCAAACTAGTAACCTTCTGCTTAAGCTAGAAATACCTAGCTGAAGGATCATTAAGAGAAATCGAAACTTTATTTCAAAGTAATTAGTTTATAATAGAACTTTTTTATTATTATTGTGTAATGATAAATTCAAGTCATTACTCTGATTAACAACAAAAGTATTGTTGTATAATTTACAACAGTTTTTTCCTTGCCTCCTTCTCAAACTTTTTCTAATTTTCGATTTCTTTGAATATACTAATCACATTCTTTAACTAACTACCAAAATCTCTTGATAGAATCTGAGAATATCCTTTTGTATTTACTACTTAGAATTTATAATATAACTAACTACAAATATGTTCAATCCACCCGTTTATATCCAGTTTTCAGTTTTCTTTTATATCTTAAGAAATGATGTACCTATGCTAATGAAACTTCTTCAAAAATACTATAAAAAAATGTTGATAATGATAACTATATAAGATTAGAACTTATACGAGTGCGGGTAATAAAAGTATTTTTATATTTTTTCTTATAAAATATAGGTAAAGTAAATATATTCCGTTTTATTATCGCTAACACCAATAAGCAACTGATTTAACCCACGATCCATTAACATTTTTGACCTACTTTTATATAGTCTTGGAACAATAACTCTTAAATTATTTCCATTCCACTGATTTCATTACTGTTGGTATTTTTATGTTTATATTACAAATTTTCAACTGTACTTACGTTTTCTCTTTTATTGTTAACACATTTCTACTTACAGATGTGCCTGATCCACCTGAACGACCTTTACTGATAAGTTTCACATCGCGTTCAGTAAATTTATCATGGGCGCATTCGCAGCATCCCAGAAATGCACCTGTGACGCATTTCATTATCGAAACACGGTAAGTAAAACGATAAAAACGCAAATGCAGTGCTCGTACGTTGCCAACATAAAATCCTGCAGAGAATAATCAAGACTTATAGAGGGAGGTTGGCAGTGATGTGCACTACAAACATTTTAAACAACTGCATAAAACTTGGTGCATTTATGTGTAATAATACCAAAGCCTTGCGGGACTAATACACTATAAAGTTCTTTGCACCATTTAGTGCGAATAAGAAGTCAGACATCTATGCATGACGGTGTAAGAATAAGTAATGATGCGTGATTTAATGCTGGAAAAGTTTCAGTATTAACATGATTTCAAAAACTGGAAAGAAGCATCAATAGGGATAATAAACCTTTTTAATTGTTGCTACCAGTGAATTATTTTCGATTCAAATAATAAAATAAAATAATTTTTTTTGTTGTTGTTATTTCTTTTGTTATTTCACAATAGTGGCGAGTCAATCATTTGTCTTTGTATGCATACAAAATAATCGCGTCATCTTGTCTCTTATAGTCCCGTTCACTTCAATTCACTGATGCATGCCAACATGATTTCAATAAAAATCATTTTATCATTGGCATTCGTTTTTATTAAGTTTCATGCATTTTTCCTTCCTCTTGCAACCAGTGGCATCCTCAATTTTTCTGCAATTTGGGTTATATGAGTGCCTCAAGTTGAAGGACATATTCAGGCGATTTCGCTGCGCTTTCCGCGTACACTGGAAACGTGTTGGTATGGTAATATATATGATATTTTCAATTTTATGATATTGTGAAATATATAATAATTCTACGAATTTTTAAACCGACTTGTGTACATGCTCAGGGCATTTTAATTTCACTGAGAAATAAAGCATATTTGAAATGCATATAATTTACTGCATATAATATATCGAAATTAAATAGCTGATTAATTATGGGCTCATGCCTTTTCATTTTATAAACTATTTGTAAATATTCATATGTCACCATTCAATCAATACTTCATTATTTCTCCACCTAAAAATATTACAAAAAAGCACAAACTTTCTAACTGAACTTACAAAACTTATATTCAATACAAACTTAGCAGTGACATATCTGCGAAAATGAGTTTGATTAATAAAATATCAACAAATTTTTCATGAATTCACTTAAGTTACACTTACATGGTTCAATTTTCTGGAACACCTTCATGACAACTTATCCATTTCCTTTAATGTCAGATAAAGTGACACGTGGTCGTCCAAAAAGTGTAGTAGCTACTTGACGTTCGGCTTACTTGCAACTCTTTAAGAAACTAGAAACTACAAGAAACATAGCGCTTCAAAATCGTGTAACTTATAGAATCCTAAAAAGGAACTTTCATTTGCTGTATGCATAATGCGTGGCATATTATGCAAATTCTCATGGTCGTGAGAAGACGTAATGGTGATTTGTTTGCCTTGCTTGCCCGCGTTGAAGATGGTAAATGACGGAAGGACACTACTTGCTTAATTTACATTTCTACACTCTTTATTTTGGTCCTGGTTTAGTTAGCTGTACTTTGTGTAGGGATGCATGTGTTGGCGCTGAAACAGCAACACAAATACAATGTAAATATATGCAACAAAACGAAAACAAAATTGCAGCGAACGCATAACAAACAAATATATAAAAATTTGAAGCATACTTTTGGGATATCAACAGAATGAAATTGCAAACTCTGCTGAATGCTGGAGCCAATATAAAGATGGTGATTCGAGATGGCGATGAGGACGACGATGACGATGACGACGTTGACGGCAATGATGATGATGAAAGTGCTGACAAAAAACTATTACATGAAAAGTAACAAATAAAAATGTTGAAAGAGGATACAACATATCCATCTCGACAGCTTAAACTCAATAAAATAGTGGAAATTGTTTCTGTTCGCTCCCTTTGCGCTTTTGGTGGCACAGCTGCTATAGTGTTGATTTGTCATAAAAATTATTGCTATTTTATACGTTTGCTAACTTATTGACACATATTCAACGTATCTCACAAGGGTAAAGAGTTAAAATGACACACTTACTCTTTATGTAATTCGTTCTATGAATATGTGTGTATACGTGTATGTTAGTTTCCTTAAATACAATGCTATAGATACAAATTTTTTCTACTTTTTCTACTTTCATTGTTAATGCTGCTGGGTTTCTGTGTATCTGGAATTGTGCTCCCAAATTAATGAAGCGTAAAATCTCGCAAGCTCCTGGGAACAGATAAAGTGACAGCACTGTCAAGTGTTTGCTAAAATTTACTTACAAATAATTTGCAGGAAGTTGCTTTTTTAAGCAAAAAAACTTAAACTTTTTAACCTAAAAATTTCACTTTGATTTAATTTTATAACAATTGTACGAACTCGTTATTTAATCAAAAAAAAAAAAAATTCTGCTTCTAAAAGATCATAAAAACAACAATGCTTCTGGCAAATGTATATAAGGATTTCCGCTTTTTATATCAACTTATTATGCTAGAAGTCCTAAATAAAAAGGTATAAGTGAAAGCTTGAAATGCCTTGAAATTTAAGCCCTAACTTATATAGTATATGCTAGGATTGTTATCAAAGAATTCTAGATTAAAACTATTCTCTAACAATTCATCTCTTCATACTTCATACTCATTACTCGTCGGCCACTCTACAGTTAGACATAATCTTATTCCCCTAATAATATATTAGAAGTTACAAGAAATGAAACACCGAGGAAGAAAATTTAAAAGTTGTAGTTTTAGCAGATACCAATGACTTTTTGTATAATGTTTTTTCTGAGATATTATGATTTCAATAGCTAGGGATTGATTTTTTTTTCAATCAATATGAGCCAAAAGTTTTTAATCCAAGAAATTACCTCCTGAATTTTTAATATTCAGTAAGCCAATTTCAAATAAATAGTATGCATTTATTCATATGTATGTAAACATATAGTATATATGTTTAGTATTATGTATATGTTTGTATATATATAGTATTATGCATATGTTTGTAACAAATCAATCAATTCCATTTTATCAGCTTATAATTGAACCTGATCGGATTTTTATATCATCTGAAAATACAAATTTAATCGGCTTAAAATTTATACTCATTTTTTATACTGAATATAAAAAATGGAATTTTTTGAATTTCAATAATATATACCATATATCTCATGCATATATATTAAAGCACATTATATCTATGTACTATACATTTAGATATTTTTAATATTAATTGCATTCACATATGAGAGGAATAAAAATATTTGGTCGACAATACCATTTATATATCAATGTTCGCTAAGTGGCTTTGAACTAATAGGAATTAATAACTAAAAATAAAAAAAAAATAATTAAAATTAATTTAATTAGCATTATTGAGCACTAAAATTAGTTTAATGAACATACATAGTAGTTATATCTGAAATTTATTTTGAGCTTAAATAACACTATTGGTTTAGTGTAATTTTTAAAAAATATAAAGAAGTGATTATATAGTACTTTAGGAATAGCACTATTGGTTTAGTATAATTTTTAAAAAATTATTAAGGAATGATAATGCAGTGCTTAATGAATAACTCACATACACTTGAATATTCAATCTTACATCTCATTCGACAGAAATCCTTCCATGTGTTCTTTAACCACAAAAAACTTCTTGCAAGTGCACAAAAAGTAAGAACTTCCCATCTCATACTGTGATATCACTGTGAGACTCTGTTGGAATATGGAACTCTACTTTGAGGTTTAGTATATTTTATTTTGACTTATTTACAATGCTCAAAGGATACTCTTTTTCATAAGCAAAAATTGTGTATAAATAATATAATTAAACTCATTATGCAGTCAGCAGAACGTAATTAAATAAAAATGTGGTTACGTTGAAAAATGCATTCTTTGTGCCTCTTTCTCTCTATTACATACTTTTTCTACTCCATTTTCATAAAACAAAAATCTTCTGGTCTACCTACTTTTGCACTCTCGCTGTGCTGCATACCAGAACAGTGGCTGTGACTGCGATTGTGACTATGATTGTGACTGTGACTGTGACTGTGATTGTGATACTAGACCGCGGCATAGGGGTCCATTTTCTTTCTGAGCTATTTGCCGCAAAACTTCATTTTAATGCAAAACGAATCAGTTATTTATGAAAAAATGGTCAACAGCATAAAAATATCGCAGGCGTGGTAATAACACAAAAACAGCGTTTAAAGCACAACACGAAACCCACAATTGGTGCTGCTTGTACGAGTATGTCTGGCTTTTGTGGGGACGTGTGGGTTTGCTTTGATTTATTTAACCGTGGGCGGATGGTTCAAAACGTATTCTTTTTTTTTTGTTTTGGTTAAGCATCATGGGTTAATATAGGTATTTATATACTCACGTATGGAATATTTTCTGTGCTTTTTAATATTAAAATATTTATATTAATTTTATTGAAATGAAATCCTTCATGTGCACATATTCTTCTGCATGTACGAATAGCAATTTTTCAGTATTTCGGCTTCAATGGGTTGAATTGTGCTAATTTCTTTTATTTCGGGCCTCATGATGAACTTAATTAAAAATTTCGCATTGCTGTTGGCAACCTTGTTTTGTAAGTTACACTTTTGCCTTCTGCCTTTTGCCTTGTGCCTTGTGTCTTGTGCCTTTTTATGTTTCGCCCTGAAACGCTGCTAAATTATATGAAAATTTATTCATTAAAGCAGCAATTTAGGCATGGGAACTCTTTTATGTGTAGCTTATGTGTAGCACTTATGTACGATTTTGGCTTGTAAGGAGCGTAGAAGATGAAATTACAATTTTTAATTTTATGCTATTTTTAATTGACTGCACAATGTCTAAACATTTGAGTTTATTTTAGTAAAATTATTATTTCTTCACCTCACAAAAAGGGCTTCACGTGCTGCTTCATTTGGGGCAATCATTTAAATTTAACCAAATTTTTTGAAAATTGTTGAATGTTGCACGTTCGTATTTGTTCTCGCCCTTGGCTTTGTGTGGATTTCTTTCTATGTACAAATAAAATAATTGCTAGGCAAACAATATTTGTATTTTTCTCTGATTCGACTTTCGTTTGCATAAAAGCATAATTAATTTGCACTTAAATAAATACACGAAAGTGTCGTTTTACATTCAAATGTTTTTCTATAATGAGGCATCTACTTCCTTCCGATCCGTACATGTGCTTTATTGTGCAAATAAATATTATTTCATGATTTTGAGTTTGTTTGCCTGCTCAGATCAACAAAAGAAGTTCTAAAGACAAATAAGTGCTAATTAAAAATGTAAACGTATCCTGTTAATTTGAGTGTGTAAATTTAAATTGCTTTCATCAAAAATCAAAGTATTTTCATATGTCAAAATTAAACAATTGTTTATACTTTTACTGCTTTTACTGTCTCTAATAATAAAACACTTGATTGAATTATTATTAGATGAGGTAACCTTATCTATTGCCATGTGATGATAGCTTTTATACATTATAATTAACTTCTCGTGTGAACGAGTTGCGACATACCTTAAGTGCTCTTGTTTAATTACAAAGTTTAATTGATTTAATCACTAAATAAATTTTGTAGATCTTTATTCAAGCATGCTTAAATATAGTTAAATACACTATTGGTACACTGTTTAAGCCTTGAAAAACGTATGCATAATGGTTACATAAAATAACGGATAAATATCAATCGCTCAATATGTATTTTGTCGCCTTAGAAACTATTATATTTGTATATCAACACTTAATCGAATCCACCGTATATTAGTCGTAATCTTATCAAGCGAAACTATCAACTAATTCTGGAAATTTTGATTTGTGACCATAACTGCCTCAATACTTCTTCCTTGAAGTATTACTAGTTTTAGTAGCAGAAGCAAATCACATGCCGTATGGCAACTAACTGCTTCGGTCATAGTTTTCATTGAGTTTTTTGACAAACAGTTTTACAGAATAGGTACTTAAGAAATTCTAGATACTTCGTTCGTACTAAATATTATCTACAAAAATGCATTTTACTCTTCTTTACCCCAAACTAAATACGTTGGAGGAAAACTTCTTCGTCTCTAAGTCTCACGGTACATGTCAACTATGTAATATGATCCTTAAACGCTAATATTCTTTTAATGTTATCTAAGCCATTGGTGTAAAATGAGTTACTTAGTATATTCTAGAATATATTCTATGGAATATTATGAAAAAATAAATTTCACCATCATTTTTGTTGAATTGCTTTAGCTAAGAGAAAATTTGTTAATTTAATATATAGATTGCGCCTTTTAGAAGAAAATCAACTATCAATCTTTGTAAGACCTTTGTCAAAATTTAATAACATTCCAAGTATATATATATCTATATTTTTGAAACGAAAAATATAAAAATGTAGTATTTACTTCTTAGCAATAGAAAATACTGTTAACTAGAGTTTCTTTGAAAATTATGTGAAACTTTTGTTTTAACAAAATCACCATTTATTTGCTGAATATACCCACGATCGTACAGCCTTGTTGTAAGTTTGTAGAAATAGTCATAGCTGGAACCATGACAGAAGGATAAATCTCTAACTAAATCATTCCCATTGCAGTTCTGGGAACAATAAAGAAAGTCTTTCATATATTCTTCAGCGTATTTGTTACATCAACTAAATATGAAGGAGCTTATTTTTTAGATGATCTTAGCCAACTTCAAGACCTTCTTTTGTAGAATTTTTTTTTGGATTGCCAAAGCTAAGTGGTAGTTCTTAAAGCTTTGAGTCTTATCATAAAGTGACACAATGCACCAATGTCATGCTTTTGTAACTGTTCCCTAAATTCCTTCCACAGCGTACGTATTCCAGCTCCTAGCGGCGACTAACTATTCATGATTCTCTAGATGTTTCAGGAAAATGAATTTGGTTTAAAAAGAGATCTACATAACGACACCCAGCAAGTCTCGTTATGTGAGAAGATTATAGAAATGTTTGAAAAGTGTTGAGATATTTGTAGTAAAGATGAAAGGGAGGATTAGTACAAAATCATAGTAATTATTAATATAGTTTTAGTCCCACATAAGCACAAACTCTTTAGCTCTCTTATGTTAATCAAAAGCATTTAATTAATAGTTCAGCTTCCATTGCTGATTTCTTAAATATTTTGATAAAATTGTTTCGTTTTTATTTTTAACTAATACCTTTAAGTAAATTTATTCTAATTTTTTTTATTATTTATTTCCTAATATCATTACTAATTACACTAAAAATTTTACTTCCGAAAACTACGACGTTTCATTGGAAATTTAATTAATAACGAAACTAATTAGAATGCATCTAATAATTAATAATAATAGATTAAAGTTAAACAAGCTTAAAATAAAGTAACTTATTAATATATTAGTGTGTATTAATCTCTCAAAGTAATTTTCTAAATGAGCCAAATTATTTTTTATTAGAATTTTAATTAACTACGAGTGAAAATCATTTAATAAAAGATCAAAGCATTTTTCGTTATTATAGTGACTTAGTTTAGAGGCAGTTTCGGGATATTAATTTACTTTTTAATTTCGCGATTTAGAAATGCTTATATAAAAGCGCACCAATAAATTCAATTAAGAGTTTCCTTATTCAATTCTTTGTGTTCTGGAATGGAAAATAGTAACAAAAATAGAAGATAAAATATGACTCTTCACGAGAAATACATTATATATATCAGGGATGATTTTAGTAATTTAGTCACTTGTAAGAGTTTCATTTTCTTTAATCTATTCATCCTATACCTATGTTAAAATAACTTTTTTTTCAAGTGAACAATAATTTTTCGGCTTTTTCAATTCATTTCTTCCAAATTGCGAAGGAATCATAACCAGTACTTTCTTGTCATTTAGATGTATTACGTTAGTTTCACTTATGCTATAAATCAATAAGTATTTTTTATTTGATTATGTATTTATTTCATAGAATAATTATTGGAATAATAGCAATAATTATTTACTTATAATAATATTAAAATAATTTTTATTCCCTTCTCCATTTGCAGAGTGGGTGAGAATGGACCTTGGGACCAAGTATCGCAAATATTTACAAAAACAAATACAACATCATATCAAGTAACTGGACTTATACCCTTCACAGTCTACAGTTTTCGTTTGCTTGCAGTAAACAAATTAGGCATAAGTCCGCCGTCCAAGGAGTCCTACTACATTGTCACATTGAGAGAAGGTAAGTAAAACTACAAAACTCAATCCAGTACTGCTTTTATTTCTTCAGTTTTAGTAGCAACACTGAAATGATTAAAATTTAAAGCCTTTTGACTTGCCAGGCTTATCATAAAACTACAAATTAAGCCGAAGTCGTTTAATTATTTTATTTTGTTCTTCCGTATCAGCAAAAGTGATTCATTAAAGTTTCAATGAATTTATTTTTATGCTCCTTTGCACCATTGTAGCAGCCATATTAACTGCTGCCTTTCGACTTTGCTCAATTACACCATAAACCAGGCAAACTACATTTAATTATTTTACACTCCGGCAATATCCTTTACATTCAACCAATATAGCACTCATTGTGTGCGCGGGACACATCAATAACACCTTCGAATCATGATAAAGCAACTGTAAACATGACATCAAAACAAACCCGACGTACTTAAAATTACAGCCTCATTTTATAGCGACACACGAGTGGAGCCGCATGCAGGGAATTGCTGGAAGGGTGCATCCACCAATGGCTTTATTAACGAATGACTGTAGCTTTTCACACCAAAAAGAAATACCAGCAAAGCACAGTCGGTTGATTGGTAGGTCCGTAACATTTTCAATTTTCAGCGCTCGCAAACCAAGTTTGCAGACTAAACGCGTTAATTTTCGACAATAATTACACAAAGTTATTGAGAATTTATAGCAACATTATGCTATGCGGTAGCACTTTCCATTGGTGCTCATACGCAGTGTATGCCGCTTTATTGCAATTGTGTGCGCACAACATACGGATACATACGGATATACATCCGTATGTTCGTATGTTGTGTGTTTTTAACGAAATTTTAAATTTTGAATTTAAATTTTAAAATTTTGATAAATTCAATGACTGAACACTTAGCACTTAGAATTTTAACGCGCATGCAACATGTTACAATGGCAATTGATGCGATACTTCAAGCCGAAGTACTCGCACTTTAGCTGTCAAAACTGTTACATACTTAAATGCAGTTGGGAAAGTATGTTTCAGGAGCCAGAATAAAGGCAAAAAATTCCCGAGAAGTATTTAAATATTTATGCAATGTATTCCTACGTGTATCTGCGGGTGTATTGCGGTTTTATGAGCGCTCATATAAAATTGATATAAACAGCGAATTGTCAAATATTGACACAAGTGCGTTCGGTAACAACCGCGCAACATGTAAAACACAGCAAATGACGCATGAACGCGGAGAGGTCCTTAAGCCCGACAACATGTGTGACTCAGTACTCATTCTCGTACAAATGCAAACAGTTTTTCCGCTCATAGATATAGCGCTGAATAGCCTAAAAATGAAAATGGAAATAGAAATAGAAATGATGTGCAGCTATAAACAATCTGAAACTGTGTTAGCAAATAAAATTTATGGCGCTATTGAGTTTTTTCAAAACACAAAATAAAAGGGTAAAAAAACGTGTTACAAAATAGAATCAATTGAAAGCCCTTAGAAATGACTTCCGCTTTCAAGGATATTTGAATATATATGCTGTATGTCAATAACTCATTTTGAAATCCATTCAACTCTTACAATAAAATTATAATAAGCAAAATTTTGATGCCACGATATTTTTTAAATTTTTAAACAAAAATACAGACTTCTCTTCAAAAATTACACAAGGACTATTTCGAGTTTTAAAGAATTTGAATTTGCGGTATATGTTTTATTTCCTACAGATACATTTATTTATTTAGATACACAGGTATCTATTTTATATAAATAAATTAAACAATTAACATAGAATGCAATCAGAAATTTAAATTCATTTGCCGCGTCTCCACAACCATGCGATGCAATCAATCAACAATTAACCAATTTTATGAGGCCTTCGGTTAGTTAGGAATGCAAACAGCTGCTTTGTCCTGAAGTTCTTAGTGCGGTAAAGTTGCGGTACTTTTATTAAACTAGTAATACCGCATGCCTGCGGTGTTCGCATTAAATACAACATAAAGGTGCATAATATTTTCGCTCAAGGATATGGAAGCATATTTGCGTTAATGCACATTTAACAGGACTAATTGGAATACTTAAACTTTACACGTGCATATGCGTTATTGTTGAAATTTATGTTAAAGTTGCTTTCCATATCGAAGTACATATTGGTTATTCAGATAAATAATTGGTTTTTTGCTCAAAGCAGTATTTTTACAATAATACTGTCCTGCATATAGAAGCTTGTTATTAACGAATAATGTAATTTAAGTCAGTTTTGAATTTACGAATACATATATAGTAGGCAATCCTAATATTAAAGAATAGGTCTTGTATATAGATCTCTTGCTGGTAACTTATGAAAATATCATAATATTCGGAAAATTTCATAATATTAAAGTATTAAACAAAAAAATAAATTTTTGTTGTTGTTTCACTTCTGTTCGAAAACCTCTTTAAAGTTTTACTTTAATTTTTGCATTTGAAATGACAGTGAAAGATTTACAAAAATAAACTTTTTGAATGTCACCTCAGCAGCCGGGTCGAGGGCTACATGGCCAATTTATTCCAAATGTAGAATCTCTGACGTATTACACAGAAGCAAATCAGAGGTATATAAGCTAATACCTATCATTACAGGGCACTAGACCTGTTCCAAGTCAATACCTGCAATGCATGTCTGCCAGCTCTCGAAAAAAGGACACCAAAACACCTGATGTGTTAATGTACAGGTTTGTTCAGAACTAGGCTTAAGTTTCCTTCTTCAACACACTCGGCGATATCTCTAGCATTGGCTTTATAAATGCTTCTGGCTGGTTCTAGCTTGACCTTTTCTTTATTACCCGATATTGCGAGGTTTTGTGGATTCGAAACGGATTTTTAACTAATTTAGGAGGACTCGTTCCTCCCTCCATTAAAACTAACTAAATTTTGTAAAAGTAATTAATAAGGCAACTTTATAGAATAATTGTTTATAATGTGACAGAGTGAACGAGTATTATATGGGATTACAAAACTTTTCAGATAACATAAATGATGTCATTTACTAACTGAAATGTTTAATTATCATAGATTCCACCAAAGCTATGCTTGAAATCGTCGAAGATCAGTCCAAATCATCATTGGAACTCATTGACTTCATGTTAAAAATCTCAAAAACCTCAATTTATCGATTTTACATAAAGTGTACACATGATTTGTTTTGGAAATAACTATTAAAATAATCACTCATTGAACAATACTTATAACTAACTTAATAGTCAAAAAACGCATCAGAACTACTAACTACTTTTCATATTAGCCTGATTCGGTAGTTTTAGACTAAACCGTTTCGAAAATAAGGCACTTATTGATGAGAGAATACCTTTTTGCGATTTAGAAACCTTCTGAATATGGCAATCACTTTAAACTACTTTAACAATAACTCCGCTTCTACTTGTCCAAATGTTTTGCAGTTTTCATAGTGTATGAATTTGTATTCTAACTTATCAAGACTTATAGTTAACAATAAATGATCCTCTAACAAGAACTTGTTTTAAGAAACTTCTCTTTACGTTGGAGTGCGCCTTATATACATAATCATATAACAAAAACGTCTGTCCATTTAGTACATATTTAGTATACATTTAGTATATATTAGTACATATGATTTTCATGGAAAAAACAGTTGTAGTTCTATTTAGATTTTAAAGTAGTGCTTAAAAATATAATTCAATATTTGTTTCACCCATAATTTTCACGATTTAGCAATTTTTATAAACTTTATTTAATTTATTCACAATTATAGATCCACTTCAAATAATAAAGTTAATATTAATACCATCACAAATATACTTTTAAGTCACATTTTACAAAAATGTTTAGTCAATTTAAATAAAATTTTAAATTTCCAACTTCTACTACTTCTTCTACAACTTCTATTTTACAAGAGCCTGAATAAGTTTAGTATCTTCCAAACTATTTTTGATTTATTTACGTACTCATTGAAGCACTGCTCGAGATGACAGCTAAAAAAATTGCTTTGACACCTTTTTTAAAAATATTTCTACAAGCCACGCAGTTTACGCATCATTAAGCAATATTCTCAAAAAAAAGCAACGAAAAATTCTGGAAAAAGATTCCAGAAGTAAAGCCAAGAAACTTCAAATCATGTCAGAGAAGAATGATTGGCAAGCTCAAGCCTAAGCATGCAGTAGGAAAAAGTTCCAAAGCAGCAAGTTAAAGAAATTGTAAAAAATATCTTATTCGAGGAAGGAAAGGGACGAACTACGGAAACACAAACTTAAGGCACAAAGCAACTTGACAATACCGCAGACACTGTCACACTATTAAAATTTGAGACTTAAACACTGCACAAATCACTTCATACATTTTTAACTTCAAACTGAAAACGGAGAAAAATATAACTTCTACTCTAACTTATATTTGCTATGCATTAAAACAAAAACAAAACAAAAAAGTTTAAAAAATATTAAAAAATTATTGCTTTTATTTTTTCTACTCTAATTACTTGCAGCTCCAACGGGAAAGCCAATACCGACAACCGCCCACAACACATCGTCCACTTCGGTTTATATTTCATGGAAACCCCCACCAGCTGACACTATACTTGGCGAATTTCTTGGCTACCGCATCACGTACAGACCACGAGATCGGGATCCAAATGATACCAAAGAGATTTACATACGCGATAACACCGTTGAGGTAAGTACATAAAATTTTTAGGTCCTCACACACACACACACGCACACATGTACAGACAACAAAAAAGTCGGCCACAATTGTAAGCCATTTAGAGCTTAAATCCTGTAATAGCGTATCCGGAATTCAGTGCCAAAACAACAACAACAACAATTATTTTTAACAAAAGCTCCAAAAGATTCATAATTGATTCTTATAATTTCTGACAATGGGAAAGCCAACATTTTTGTGTTACATTCGTTAATGTCACTTGCCCTTCGCCTAGCGTTACTCCTATGGTATTTGCAATAGACTATGGTACTGCACTGGTATGGCATCGCTTGGCGGTGCTCAGTTTTCCGTGTTTGGTACTAGATGCGCGGGGCGCGGGGCTTCATCGTCAACATTTACCTTTCAGTGTCATTTATTTTCATTTGCTGTCATGTTACGTGAATATCATTTTCGGTTTTAATTTTAACAAAACCAAAAAGACAAATGGAAAACAAAATTTAAATAAAATCCAAAATCAAATAAGAGATAAAAACTTAACGCAGGAACTGTCAAGGGTGTGCTGCGCTGAACTGCGCTGAACTGCCATTGCCGTATCGCCATTGCTACAAACACTTAAGTGCCAACTTCACTGACTTCAGCCCCAAACTCCAAACTCCGAACACCAAATCCAATTCCAACTACAATTCGGAAATGTTTTGGCGCATTTCAAAGTATCTCATGCTTAGAGAGCAATTCGTGTTCTTACCTGTGATACTACGACACTGACTTCTCGGTGTGTGACACAATTTTCGCTATTTCAATTGTTGTTGTTACTATTGTTGTTGTTATTGTTGTTGTCAGAATACTCTAAAGCTTATGTCAAACATTAAAAACTAATTTACGCATCTTAGTAGGAAAGTACAAAGTTTTGTTGGAAATTCCGATTGAATTACATGAATCGTTACTAAGCATTTCGGGTTCGTTTAAGTGATTCCGTACTAAGGATTCACAGAAATGATTTGTTTTTAATTTGTTGCATGAATTCCCTAAGACATTGAATACCAAATTAAGCATCGCCATAGGAATTCGTAAGCAATCAGAATTTCACTGTATTTATTTAAGGTTTTTACAATAAGAAAAAATATATTAAAATTTTTAATTTTCTAATATTTTTCACTGACTAAATGTCGAAGAAAATATATATCACGTTAAGTCAGTTTTTAGGCTATTCCGGTATTTTTGCTGAAATAAAAATAAAAATTAAATTTTAATATTTCTAATAGCGTTATAAATATACGCTACTAAGTTTGCAGTATACTCTTATTGACTTATATTGACTTATACAGATAAAGTTTTTTTTATGAAATGTTTTTATTTTTTTTTTGTTACATAAAATAAAAGCTTTATCTACTTTCTTATCAAAATTCAACACTAGACATGTGACATGCGACACATGTCTGATGAAAGTTGTGTCGTATTACAATATGATTCGTTTATCAATCGCTGAACGCGCTGAAATCATGAAAATTTAATTCAAAGTGATGATATTAGTCTAAGCATATTTCGTATCGAATATCTTTTCTAATGAGACTGATATACTATTCGTATTGTCTTTACTGATAACCACATTTTTCGGATTGTATATATGCTAACACAAAAATTGTCCCATCTGGAATGTTGACATACTAAATTCATTAGTAATTGTCTTATGACTTTTGCAATCACAAAAAATCCACTATGGTATTGCATTTGATATGGTAGAGGTACAATACGCCGTTACTTATTTGACAATGGCAAAAATTTGTCATAAACCATTACTTTTGATCGCTGTAATTGATACAGTAACATGATTTCAAATTGTAGATATGATTATAGAAGATAAGTGCTATCAAGAAGACGATTTCATTAGTCTCTCAAAACGCCTTGTTTTGGATTTATTGTGTAAGAATTGTTCAGAACTTGTTATTTCATGATTTGAAAGATAAATAAACCAGAAAAACCATGCGATTTATAAGCGCTTGACTTTTTTATGGGGTGGCTGGGTGGATGGCGTTTATGCGGATAGTCTTCAAACTGCAGAGGCTTTGAAAATGACTATCTGTCAAGCTAAGGTCGAGCTATTTCCAGTTGTACGTTAACTAGTTATCAAAAAGTATACAGAATTATGAAATACTTTGTGAAATACATCATCATTGAAATGTGTTATTAGCAAACCCCGAACAATATATTGGAAAAATATTTGTTTGAAAACTTGATCACTACATAAAACTTTTAGCTCTACGGATTCGAAACAAACCTTAGTTATTTTCGTTTTTTTAAGCCTTGTTCGTTAATCTTAACTTTTCTCGCCAGCCTACTAATTCATTATAGAAGAGACAACCCTGTACTCGTATCAATAATAAAATATGTATTTTTATTTGATTAATCTCTCAACGGGGAGTCATGTGTATACTATACTGACTATAGATTGAAATTAAAACTTTCTTATAATAGTTTTTTGAAGTTTTTTGTTCGCCAGCTACTAATTCGCTATAGAAAAGACAACCCTGTACTCGTATCAATAATAACATAATTATATATATATCTGATTAATCTCTCAACAGGAAGTCATGTATATACTATACTGACTATAGATTACAATTAGAACTTTGTTATATTGGATTTTTAGTTTTTTTTTCGCCAGCTTACTAATTCACTATAGAAGAAACAGCCTTGTACTTGTAAATTAACAAAATATGAATATATGTATTTTTATCTGATTAAACTCTCAACAGGGATTCATGTGTATTTCTTACTCATATGCATATCTTTAAAAATTATAAAAGCGGAAACAAAACAACAATCTACAATCTATTGAAAACAATTTCTTTACAAATTATTAGGACTAAACAATTTGTGTTATTTATTATATCAAATATTTAATTCGATAAGAATGAAAGTAAATTATGCACTTAAATTTATTTATTCCATTTAGTGCTTAACTTTTTTATTATATAAAATTATATTCAGTAACTATCAGCGATAATGCTCACGTACGGATTTATACGCTCCCAAATGCATATTTTTCCTTATCTTATATGTTTTTTATTTTTTCTTTAATTTTATTTTATTTTTTTTGATTTTTTTCAGTGTTTTTTTTGACTATATAACATTTTGCTGAACATTTTGTGATTGTTAGTATGTGTATCTGTGCATTTTTGCATAACGCTCTGATGTTGAAATATTATACTACGAGCGAGAACGTGCAACTTAAGTTCCATTTTCGAGCTGGAAAAAATTACGTACGTTGTAAAGTTTTTTACGATTTTTTTATATGCACACAAACTTAGATACTCCGCACTAATTCATAGTGGGAAAATAAAGGGAAATAAAAGTATTTACGTACTTTGCTATAAAATGTTGCTAAAATACCGACTGAAACCTGATGTTGATAATGCAACTGCAACAAGATAATATTTTTCTTTTATGTGTCACAAATAAAGCTGAAGTTGAGTACAAATGCGAGTATATGCTGCGCTGCTGCTGTACGTCGTAGGGTGTGCGGTGGGGTATGCGGTACGGTATGCGGTAGGATTGAATAAAAAATTTGGATTTATTTGTTAAAATATACAACGAAATTTCTACCTAATCTGAACATGCAGCGAAGGATTAAAGCACAAAAGAAAAGTTTAAAGTTTGTTCATAAATTGCGGTATTATGAATATATAACACAATATCCTCACTTTATGGTGCATCGTATATTATGTTGGGTAAACCGAGTACGTATGCATATATTTCATATTATAAATTTTAATAGATATTCACTATTTTACATTATCATCCAAAAGTTTCGATTATGAAAACACAATTAAAATTTTTTTATTTTAAAAATTTACTAAATATTTAAATAATGGATATTATATGTATGCCAACAACACAAAAAATCTTTTAATTTTTAATACAAAAGTGTAGAGAATACAAGAACTTAACATTTCCTTGCAGTCGCAGTGCATTTTAGCTTCTAATAATGGCTAAAGTATGACGATATGAAAAGATACTCATAAATCTAGTAAAACATTTTAATGTTTTTTTTAAACTGAAGTCCTACAATCAATTTTAGAACCTTATGTCAATTACAAATCTGAAGGATATAATATATATTTATGTATTATTAACAGAACTTTCATATTTTAAAACAATTTTTTAAAAGATTCAGTATTTTTGTTAAAAAGTGTATATTCCTCCATATATGGTAGAGCTTATGTGTTACTTCAGTATTTTATCAAGTTTTTCATATTATCATGTAATTACTTTTTGAATGAGTTGTTTGGAATAATTTGACTAATTTTAAATATGCTTCGGGTCATGAAAATAAGCCTACCAGCTTTAAAGCTGGCCAGAACTAACACATAACTTTTTATAACAAATAATCAAACTAGATATTAACAAAACTTTTCATCTCAGTTAAGTTAAGCTACATGACTAGAATATTCAAAAATGTAAAAGCAATAATCACGTCAATTCACAGTTTTAACTTGGGCCAACTAAATTCCTGTAAGAAAAAAGAAGAGCGTTCCTAAAAATTAGAACCTTCTTTCTCAGTGAATTGAATGATGAGTCGACCAGAATTTGCATGTAACTTCTTATAAAATCAATTAAACTAAATGATAGCAGCATCTTAGCCGCGGGTAATCTGGAAATTTGAATTGAATATTTTAAAATGAATCACTAAATTTGCTATTAACTTAAGTCATACAAAATCGTATATTATGGCGCGTCTAAAATAAACTGACTAATCTGAACTACTATCATGGTATTATGCATTTATTACAGTAACAAAACACTATCTTATAAATAGGATCAAAATAAGCGACCAAAAAACAGCTGCATACATCATTACTAATTTTAAATCAGCAATATATTTCATAATATAGCATGCACACAATGAATGTTGTGGACATAGTGGAGGAGTATTGCTCATCTGCTTTTTTACCACCTATCCAGAAAGCGTTTTTACAATATAGGTTCCCAATTCTTAAAATCCACTACATAAGTACTAACGCTATTGCTTGCTTTTAAGTGGTTTTCCTGGTTACTACCAAAATTATGACTCAGTAGAGCAACAGAAATATGTTGCCTCTTCTACTCTGCCATTACCTGGACAAAAAAAATTCTTCCGACAAATGTTTTCACTGTCTTTAATGTGTAACCAACATACGCAAACAATACGTTAAAGACATTGCTTGTTTATTGTGGTTTTCCGGTCAAAAATACTATTATCTCTACCCTCTACATATCTCTACATGTTTAAATTTCTTTAAACATGATTTCAAATTTTTTAGTGATATCACAGCGGGTCAATATCTTTGGGTTTAAGTCAGACTTATGGCAGTATATCTATTCCATTTCTTCGAAATAATTAGATTTGTTTCTCATTTTAGACAACGATTATAATCTTATCCTTGTCAGTGGTATAAAAGGAGTTAAGGAACTCCATAATAATATCGTTATTACATACATTTTTAAATACATATACAATACATTTGGACTAATATATAAATTTAAAGTAATAAAAATAAAAACTTTTCCCAAATTAAAAGTTAAAAATAAATATCTCTGTATAAAATTGGCCATGACTCATGACCCTATCATCCAGTGTTATCAATACTACATATTACAAGATGATTTTAATTAAATAAAATAAATTCAATAGTAATAAAACTTTAAAAGAATATTTCATAGTATTTTCAAAATATTGAAATAATATTTTTTTTTTCATTAAAGTATCTTTATTATCGTCAAAAGAACGAATATTGCAACCGAATACATACAATTGAGTCAGTGGCAACGAAACTTGAATGCACCAAATTCGTTTTAAAATCCCGACATGAATTTCATTTCATTCTCCACACTGTGGAATGATTTAATATATGCACGTCTGTAAACCAGACCCAGTAAACCTCAATAAATGACCGCTCGCGTACATTTGTACATTTGTGTGCGGTTTACTTCTGAGGTTTTCCGCGTTTGTGAACCTTTGATAAATTTAATTTTTCCCAGTACAACATAAATCTCGTCGAATGCACAAGGGCAAGTCGAATGACTCAGATAACGATTATTCCTTGTAAACTCGTAGAATCATCATCACATATAATAATCGTAACAGTGATGTATAAGTGCAATTTTGCATAAATGAGATATGCAATACTAATGAGCATTTCACTCCGGAAAGTAAAGATACTTATTTGAAATTAAAGTGAATTTATAGTTCAACTAACATAAATACATTTTTATAAATAGTTGTTAAGTGTACCAAATATAAAGGCAATGGTTGTTAGATTTTGAATTACAATTTAGAAACTAAAATTGAACTGAAACTATTCCAATAAATATATTAAATATATTTTAAGTAATTCTTCTCTTATAGTCTCACTTACTTTATACTATGATTATAATTACACTTATAAAAGCTCTTTAGCATATTTTTAGAAGGATCTAATCCTAAAAGTGTAAAAACTGAGTTGTTATATGTTAAGTTGAATTGAATATGTTATTTTAATATAATGATTTCACTAAGCCCAGTTGGCCCATATGTGGATTTGGAAAATGTGATGAAATCTAACATACCTTTCAAGGCAACGTCTTGCAACTAATGAACCTTCTCAGAAATTTAGTGTATGTTTAGTCCATATTATTATCACTGTTTTCAATTAAACACTTATCTTAAGTACCATATATGTATGTTATAAAGTATATGTATATGTAAATTAAACTTTCCACAAATGTTAAACGAAAATTACATTAGAGAAGTATAAAGGCATTAATCCAAAAATGTATACTAAAATCATTTTACAAAATGATGAAATGCAGAAAATATTATTTTTGAAAATTGAATAACTTCAGGAGTTCAATTGATTTGCCTGCACAAATACTTCGACACTTGATTTGCTGCAAAACTTTTTTGACTTTATTTGCTCCACAAATAATTTAAGTTCGTTTTCAAATTCAAATTGCAGTTTACTTCACTTTGCAGTTACACAAATTACACAAATATTAAATTTTCGAAAATGTCCAACAAAGAAGAGGAGAAGAAGATTTGCCCTGATTTTCCTTGACTTAACTTAGATTATTATACCAATTCATTTCTATAGTCCAAAGAGATTATTATATAAACTAAGTGCTTTTTAGTCATTTAACTTAAATAAAATAAGATTAATTAAAATACTTCGTTCCTAACTTCTTACCATAATACGAGAACTGTGTTTAGTTCAACTTAAACCCTTTGGTTTACTAGATGAAGTTAAGGAGATCCCGAAAGTGTATTTTCGCTATCTCTGACAATCAAATGATAAAACAATCTTCTAGACATTGAATTTTCACAATGAAATTGTTGATCAAAACATACGACTGTAGCGTAGGACATCAGTCTACGAACTGTCATATATCGCAGGGATTTTAAGTAATACATACCGTAGAGTAATGGATCAAAGCAGTATACTCACATGGAATATATTTTGAAATTTGTTAGATTACTAAGATTTCATACTCATAAAAAATAAAACTTATATTATATACCCACATTATTATTCTATGCCAATTTGAAATTGCTATCGCTGAATCCTCTCCTGCACAATATATATCTTACATATATTTTTATACAATATAAAACTTTTATTTACATATGAAATTTGTATTTTGCAGAGTCATGAAATTCACAATTTGGAAACTTACACGCAGTACAAAGTTACTGTACAGGTTTTCAATCCTGAGGGCTTGGGACCTGAAACAACAATTCTAGTCATGACTGATGAAGGAGGTAAGTTATGTTAAGCAATTTAAATATATTTTCCTAACACATAAAGCTAAACCCTGACAAATTGATGCTCATGAGACAAAAATAATATTAACCTTTCATTACTGACTTACGCATTTCTTCTAATGAAGTTGACATTGAACCTTAAGTCAGAGCCCAAAAAGAAATCGTAATAACATATTTGCGGAAAAAAATATTAGAAAATAAGAAACTAAAAATATGTAAAACTAATCCATTACCATTCAAAATGCCTCAAAGACTTTTTACAATCTATTATCCTTACATCAAAATAAACAAAAACAACAACTCTAAAGTTTTTGTATATTTCAATATATTATATTTAGACATTTCTCTTTTCTTTATGCATATATAATACAAATATATATATATATATATTTCCCATTGCAAGACAAAATATTTGTACCCCATTTTTTGGTATCGTCGTCTTGAATTCATTACAAAAGAAATCAAATGAAACCTTAAAAAAGCCTGAAAGTAAGACAAGCAGACGCACAAACGGACATACAGACACACGGCCTGACAGACAGACAGACAGACAAGCAAAGTTAAATGTCAAAATGTTAAAGCGCAAAGGATACAATCAACGAGTTTCACGTGACATGCACGTACAAATGTTTTCATATCAATGATCGGCTTGAAAGGCAATGCGGTGATGGGTTAAATTGAAGACCTTTTTTCCTGCGAAATACACGCTTCCTGCCCATCTAACAACAAATAACAATAGTTATTGCTGCTATTGTCATTATTGTTGTTGTTGCTGCTGTTACTGTTGTTAACAGATTAACTTGAGGGCATACAATACTTAAGCTACTGTGAGGAATTAAGTTGGAAACTTTTCGAAATAAGGAAAAAGTTTTCATTGCTTTAAGGACTTCATTTAAAAGTGCCTAACAATAAAGTGTATTTCAAGGTGAAGTACTTTAAATTCTCACAATGCTATCTTTTAGTAAGCTTTATGTACAATGTCTAAGTATGTTTAGTATTAGGTTTCATAATTTTCACCACAGGCGGTTCCACTGCGGTGCTCCATAGAGTATAAGGTTTCGCTTTTCATTGCCAGCGCAGTACAAATACAACAAAATAATTTCGCACTGAAAACAAACTTTTTAACAGGACGACAGGAGTAAATGGTAATAGTGCTATTAGGATATATGCATAATGATTTTAATTGAATTTTTTTAGTAAATACTTAAAAAATATTTAAATACTTTGAAATATTTATGGACAGTGTTTTTAAAATGGAATATCTACGAAATCATATTAAAAGAACAATTTCATCTCTTATAGTTTATAAGTCAACAACACAAAGTGCGATGAATTTTCAATATTTCTTAGTTATAGAAGACAGAATCGCACCAGTACAACGAGTTATAGATACAAACATGCCACTAATAAGAAGAAAAAAACGAACTAATGAAAAAGTTGAAAAAATCTACAAAAATTTTAAATACATTGTGACCGAAAGGTTTTCGGAGGTTCTCATTTAAAATTCGCGCGCTGTATATTTTTCGATATTTTAAGTTTATGTAGTTTGGCAGCACTGTCCTTAATTACTATGCCAAAAATGAGCGCGATCTGTCAGACAGTTCGTTTACGGCAGCTGTTGAAACCAGTTCACCTCAGTAGTGCGTTGCGAAAAAAACAATGGAAAAAAATATTGAACAAAGAGTTTGCATCAAATTTTGTTTTTCGAACGAAATTTCGTGTGCAGAATCGTTGCGAATGCTACAAAAGGCTTATGGGGAATCAGTTTTATCGAAAACTCAAGTTTATGAGTGGTACAAAGCCTTTCAGGACTGTCGTACGACCGTCGAAGACATGCCGCGTTCTGGACGACCTTCGACCTCTACCACCGACGAAAACATTGAAAAGGCAAAGGAAATCGTGTTCAAAAATCCTCATGTGAGTGTTAGAGAGATAGCACGAGAGCTAGGCATCGGTCGTGAGATGGCTCGTTTGATTTTGGTGGACAATTTGTGTATGCGACGTGTCAACGCCCGGCTTGTTCCGATTCACCTCAATTTGTTCAACATTATCAACGATTTTAAGGCCAAACATTCAATAAATACCATCGAACAGCCACCGTATTCACCTGATCTTGCACCGTGTGACTTTTTCCTGTTTCCCAACCTCAAATTACCACTCAGAGGAACGCGTTTTGAATCCATAGAAGACGTAAAACAGAATTCGCAGAGGGAACTCAAAGCCATACCGGAAAGCGCCTATAAAAATGTTTTGATGATTGGAAGAAACGTTGGCATTTGTGTATCGCTTCTAATGGAGCATATTTTGAAGGAGATAAAATAAATATTGATGAAGATTAAGAATTTTGCGATTTATTTATTTATGACCGGAAACTTTTCGGTCACAATGTAATACCCTCTTTAACTCATCCATGTAAGTGAGTTTTAATAAAATTTTACGAAAAAAGTTGAAGAAAACTTGAAATAAATTTGAGGCTAAGTCAGCGCTTCTGTCAAATATATGTATTGTGATAAAATTGAAAATCGAATGTAAACACAGAAACTATTTTAAGCTTCATACAAACTCATAGTTCTCTCATAGGTTGGTACTATAAATCAGTCACACTTTTAAAGAAACAAGAAATAATTCTCTAACAGAGATTTAGGTAACTCCCTAACCTTTTCGTAGCACCCTACAATTATGCATAATTATCTGCACCATGATGAAATATTAGTGCCAAGCCCCAGTGAGAACTATAACAGATTGTTAATAATCTCTCATTAAAAGTAAAAAATACAGCAGTACAAGAAAGTACTTATATTCTTTATTGTTCATATTTAAAATAGAAAAAATTTAGAAAGTATCTAAAAGTGCTTTAGCTGCCGAACTTATTTTAGCATTTCCATCAGTTTGAGATAAGTTTGCAAAACCACGAATTCTTTCAGTAAGGAACTCATCAGCAATAATCTTTTCACGAATCGATGTTGTTGTTAAATTTCCAAGTGCTTGTATACCATGATAGCAGGCCTCTAAATCAGTACTCCATTCAAAAAAGTCAGAAAGACCCTCAGTAATAAATTTAGACGATTCAGTAGTTGTTAAGTCATTTGTCTGGGTTATGGACAAGTTCAAGTAAAAGACCGCAAGCGCAATTTGCAAATTGGAACTGCCATCTCTTATCTCCTTAAGTAGCGGCAGCAAGTTATGTAAACGTTGCCTGATGTGAACCTGTCCATTGTTGTGACGTAGCATATTAGCCAAAGAACGTAGAATCATTAGTTGGTTTGCGTCATTTGTTTTTAAGAGTGATAACATTTTATCCATTAAGTGATGGTTTTCAAAAATTGTAAAAGCCTCCTCTTCTTGTACCACCAAACGTATTATATCGAGAACAGGAAATATCTTGTCATTTGGCCATTCCAACAAAAGATTTAGCGCCATAACGATATTCTCATCTGCTGCAGTAGGACATTCTGCCATTAAATTAGCCAACTCCAAAACTGTTTGGGATACCTTATATTCATTCGGCATCGTACTATTAAATTCTTCTAGTTTCTTTTTGACTTTATCTGCATCACATTTATGAAATACTATGTATTTGTTAATAGGAAAATGCTTCTCAATATTGGTATCAGACAATGATGCAACGGAACTGTTGATACTACCAAGTAATGAATCAGGCAAATAACGTGTGCTACCAGACAAAGAGCTTTGAAAACTGCTCTCACCAATTGATGGAACATTACCACTCGAGTTTTTAATCACAAAATTAGCTACCCGATCCAAATATGTCTGTGGTAAGTTATGAAGATTCAAAAAAACTTGCGCAGCAATCCATGGATTCTCTTCGCGGTTATAGGGCAACTTTATTTCTGGCAGTGAATCTGAAATGTTAATAGAAAAAACATAGTCGTATTCTTTACCTTCGTAAAGTATTTTGCCAAATGTACTCTCACTTCCACCAGAAGCGCCTATTACATCGCCAACTAACTTCCATACATAAGCTTGCCAATTGTAACACTTAACTGAACCATCAGAATAACTTACCAGTAAACTCTCACCATCCTTTTTTCCACTTACCAACAAAGCTTCTGGGCCTGGAAGCTCAGAAATGTTGAGGGTTCCAATTGTTTCATTCATTTGCAGTTTCCTGGCGTTAATTGCACTATCGTAAGCTTCAAGTTTAGCTTCACTAGCGAACCGTTTAGGCTCTTTAGTAAAAACTCGTACTACACCGTCACTACAACCAGTTACAATATCGCCATTATTGAAACAAGCAACTGACCAAACTGATCCGCCAGGGTGCAGTATAGGTAAACCTAACTCTATACCTTCTGTTAGATCCCACATACGCAAACAGCTGTCTTCGCCTGAAGACACAATAATGTTTGTTCCAACACCAGTATTTTGTGCAATAGAATAAATGTAATCAGTATGACCATTTAGCTTTCCAACGCATTTACCACTTTCGTCCCACAAACGTATAACAGAATCGTTACCAGCAGATACTAGGAAATTGCTTGGCAAGACCTCTAGTCCACGTATGCAATCTGTATGACCAGAAAGTGTACGTATTTTTTCACCCTTATCGTTCCAAATAAAAATTTTTTTATCAGCTGAGCCACTTACATATTGACTTAATGTGGGCATTGCGTCTACTGCCCATATAGCTGCTGTATGTCCAATTAATTTAAGAAATGTAGCAACTCCTTCTCGATTAATTTTCCACACTCTTGCTGTACCATCCCAACTTCCTGTTATAAGGCTCCGACTCTCTAAGCCACTTGATATAGCACAAACATTACTCTGATGTCCTTTTAGTATTAAAATGGGAACATTACTATCTGTTTTATATATGCAAACCGTGCCATCATTACTGCCACTGCATATCCAATCCTCCTGCTTTGCATAATAAACGCAACTAACAAAGCTGACATGGTGTTCAAATGTAATCATTTCATTAAATTCATTATTCTCACATTTCCATAACTTAGTTGTCTTATCGCGAGAACCAGAGATTATAATTTCTCCATTACAACTTGTTTCACCGACTGCAACGGCACGCACATCCGTGC